GTGACACACAATAGATTGTTGAAACATTCTCATTCTTTACTTTCTCGTCTTGAGCTCGCCTTGCCGGATTATTCAACCGGATCTCTATAGAGAATATATAATTCGAAATCACCGGTAGTCACATCTAGCTATCAAAGAAGATACAGGCCTTATCCCAATAAAAGTTAGGGAAGGAAGGCAATCTTTCTTTTTCCTAAAAGAACCTCAGCTTGCATACCTTTTCCTTCCTTATCCATCTTTACCTAAAGGACGATAGGAAGATAGGATTGATGTGAGCATTAACGTCCGCATCGTCCGGGTCAAACTACAGGTATGAGTTCCATCTTACTTACTTGGCCCTAGCTTACTACTCCTACTGGGATACTCGCAAAGGAAGGCAAAGATAGCTAATAGCAGCTCAGCTCATATTGGCCTGGCCTTATTCAACTACCAGCACTGGAATGGAAGGCTATGGAAAATAGAAGCACTAGGATAGAGGAACAACGTCCGATAAGAACCGTATCGGACGTTACATCTATCTATAGTCCTCTCGTCCGGTAGTTCCCTTTAGTCTGTTTCTAAGAAGCTAAAACAGCTAAGAACGAATTAGCTCTTTCAAGCCCCGTTTCTAGAAGAGAAAGCCAGAAGGTAATAGCTGATTGGCAGTATGAGTGTCAGAAAGCTGCCTGCTCGAATCAACATCCCTCTACGAGTTTCCTCATTCCTGTGGTTGTTCTCTTTCCTCTAGGCTAGAGAATATCTTCTTTCTATATGTATTTATTACTTACTGTAAGGGACTTTGTAATAAACAGGACAATCTCTAGCTGACGCGATCCAGCACCCCCAATAGCCGATGGAATGCAATATACCGTCATTCGATAGAGTCGTCGCAGCTTGCGAGTTTGAGGGATCGGGCATCGATTCTCTTGGATCCGATAGGAATCTCGATAGCGAGCAGTACCTATCGTTCGCAGCTACCCCTGGTCGTACGTTCCGCGCTTCGTCTTGCGCTATATGTACTGAGATCTTTGGCATGCTCTTCACTGCAGCCACCTTTCAACAGTAAATCGATCACTCTTAGGATGACTGCTCTCTCCATTCATCTGTCGTGACATAGATCGCAGCTTTCATTACTGCTGACTTATCTAGTCACACATGAAGTAAAGTAGCACTCTCCTTATTTTATTATATTTATATTTGTTTAGGTGCCATCAGCGTCTGTGCTTGTATTCTGTCGAAGGAAAATGCCTTTTACGCGAGATGTCGGGACAGGAAAGCTTATTTTGATGGCAGGCCAGTAAAAACTATAGTATTCTTTGCTGCTTCCAGGGTTCATCCTATAGCTACTTAGGATCCGATCTATAGCGCGCCACCCAATTAAGGCTACCAGCAGCGGTCTGCCCTTGCCCCTCCTTCTCCATTCGGCATGGCTACAGCCAGACAGTCTTTCTTTTTATTGAACGTAGGGTAGTTCGTTTCAAATAGATCAAGGAACATTAGATCTGGTGAAAACTACACTTGCATTTCTTCATTGATGTGATGGTTTCTCGTTTATCGGGAATCAGGTGCGGCAGAACCCATAATTACCTGCCACTATTGGAAGTAATGTTCCCAGGCTGAATCGGGTCTCTCCCGTTGGTCGATTGTCCGTCTAGTGAGTTAGCGTTGAGACTTTCTCTCCCACCAGTCAAGTCAGGGCGGGTCATGGTAAAAATCAATGATATCTGTAAAGTTAGACTCGCTACTAAAGAAAGAAGGAACGGTCGAAGCGAAAGAGTCACAAACCTTCAACTCATCGAGGAAAATATTATCTTTCGATTCTATTTGCTCTTGACGCCAACAATTTATCTAAGACTAAGGACCGATAGACGAGACGAAACTGGGAATAAAAAAAGATCTCGGAACTCATTTCCCTCAGTCTTTTACGTTGCTGTCCCCCTTCTCTGATTCCGTACTCAATTCCGTGGCACCTGCCTGAACAGACAGATCGTCAAATGGCAACGTATATAAAGAAGTGGCCGCTTCCTCACAAACTGAATAGCTTTCTCGAGTTGCTGTTGCCGAAGCTGAGCTTGAAGAGCTTGTTCTCTCCACTCTTGTTGCTTTCTTTGCTATTGCTTCTGTTGAATGGTTGAGGGGTGAAGGGCGAGTACAGTCTCTTGATCCTCTATCCCTGCCCGACTTGGGCATTTAGCTACGAGAATAACTCATCTCCTTTAATCCCGCTCGAGTGGAATATAGGAAGCTAGGGAGCTAGGTGAATACCCCGATGAGACCCTTCTTTAACCCGACCTGAAAAGGAAGAGTTTGATTGAACTCTTTCACCTCTTAAACTCGTTCAAGCGGCATTCATCTTAGCTATACTATTCTTATCTTCCGTCTGAAGACTCCCTTCTGTCGCTCGACATAACTACACTATCTGGAATTCTCCTATATCAGGAAGTGGCCTTTAGGCTCTGATCCCTCTGCCCTTTCGCTTTCCGACCCCTCTTTCTCCGTTGAAGCTATTCCCTCCGCTCCCGATGAATGAGTCACTACAGACTGAAGATGTAACTACCAGTTCCTTGCTTCTCCACTGTTCTGGCTAATCCATGAGATCAGGTTTTCCATAGCGGTGAATCCTTCCCTCTTTCTTAAAGAGAAGGAAGCCACCAATAGCTACGAGCTGCCGTAAGCGCTCTTGCACTAGTACTGTATCACTACACTAAGAATAGAGGAACTACGAGCAGAAAGTAAAAAGTAGTCGCTCTTCGCCTTTCAAGATATTTCGTATAAAGAGAGAGATTTCCTATTGCCCTGCCTCCAACAGAATTAATGGCACTAACTGATTCAATAACTGGTCTTCAAGCCTCACTCGATTTCCTTTATATGTTGATGGCCAGTTCATTCCTATTTTCTAAAAGAAGCTAGGATCTTCTAATAATTATTAGAATACGGATACCACTAGCCTTATCCAAGACCGGATAAGCCGCAAAACAGAGGGGTGAAGGTCAGAAAGCCTTGCATCCCTTGCTGGGTTACTATAATAGGCATTCCATCTCGAAAAATAGAAAGCGAAAATACCATCCTCTACTCGATCAGTCCCGATTCGAACCAGACTCGACAAGTCCTGTTTGTAGAAGAGCATCTAATCGAACCATTGACAAAGTAACTAAACGTGCCAATGGAAGAGATCTCTTTTTTCTATCTTTTTCTGATGATATCGTCTTTGTTTATGCGATATTGCTTGGAAGTGATAACTAGAATTCTTGATTGCCCCTTGTTAGTGCTCCACCAGGGCTGGAGCATGCACCCTATCTCTGTCTTTCTTTGTTTTTATATTCTAATATGTTGTCCCAAAGCCTTCAATTTGCCTTTCCCTGTAGGAATTCCTTTTTCATTCGTTCTTCTGTTGAATGTAGTCCTCTTGAGCTGAGCTCTCTTTGAGGGCGGATTACATACAATACAAGATTTCTTTCATTTTTGCTCTAGCAGAAAGTGGGGGGTGCCTGACCTCACCAAAAAAAGGGCTTTCCCCAGATAATCTCCTTAGCCCAGGTCTGTCGAGCCTCAATTAACTGCTACTATAGGGTAGCCGCTTGAACTCATAGCTGTGGTAACTGCGCCCTTCGCTCATTGACTATTCATTACCTGAATACTCAAATGAATAGCCATAGCTGCTAAGAACAACAAATGATCACCTTTCACCCCTGATATGATAGTAGTATGCCGGGCCAAAGCTTCCAGGGTCTCATCCCAAGATGAGAGGTTCTTTTTCGCTTTTATGGTATAAGTATTGATGGGAAAGTTGGATCTTCTTTCTATTGATTTTTATTGATAAATAGAAGTGGCCCACTCTGCGGGAAGTCATCTACGCTCAGCAGCGACAATTCCTGTAAAGACGAGGGCTTATAGAGTCGGAGTTGGTCGTGTCCAGTCATTAGACTGGAAGCTTGAATGTCCTAAAAAAGAAGCTAAGCCAGCCAGTGATCCATAGGCCTTTGTTCGATCGCTTTCGTTCATCAGAAGTAGTGGACAAGGAGTCAGCATCGTGCATGCAATTCCATCGATCTGGTCAATTCATTTCCGCGAGACGCTGCTCCACTCTTTTGCTTTGGCATTTCCATACGAGGAAGATCGCTCAGTTACATGTCAAAAGATATTGAATTTCCGACCAAGCAGTTCAGATTGAAATATGGGAATTTAGACCGAAAGATATCCATGTCAGTTAAAGATGTCTCTTTTTTGAGTGATAGGAACAGAGCGAAGGGCAAGCAGCTGAACCCATTTCCTTAATAGAATAGAATGGGGCTAGTTGGCGGACTTGATGTCATCTAAGTCAACTGGGGAAATCGGCTTCGATCCTCTTTGCGTTGATTCTCTAGTCGGAGAGTAATTTACTGATTATCCTCTTGATTTTTCTTTGTTACACCGGGCTTCCAAGTAATAGTATGAACCGCTTGCTCTGCTCGCAGCTTACACAGGGCTGTCGGAGGACTTGAGCGATGAGATCCTGCGAGACCTCATCTGAATAGGTCTCGCTCCGTCCGTGCCTTTTGATTTTACTTGGGATGGGACTGGCTAACCCATGATCTCAGGTTCGAACTCATTATCATAGTATGGGCTTCGGTTCGGAACTCTGAATCGATCAATCAAATGGGACTACTCCGATCCTCGCATCGGTGAAATAACGTATAATAGAGAGACCTGCAAATCTAATCTATGCTTTCTGGCTCCTCACTTCCGGTCGGTGCGCCTCCCCTCTCTTCTACTTTAAAGAGACTTTACCCGGAGGAGATAGAAAGAGAGGAGAGAGAGAGAAGAAGAGGAACAATCCTAAGTGGAGTTCCGGTTTAACAGGGATTGTATTTTCTTGAAATTATGTATTAAGCAGTTGCTTATTTGGTCCGTACGTATATAAGAGAGAGGCTTTAGGTATGAAAGATGATCTTAACTAGAAATATCATAAGAGAAGAAAAGAGAGTTGCCTAGTTCTGATGAAAGCTATGCTTAAAGGCTACCCGAGAAAAAAGGTTTAGTTGCGTCTCCCTGTCTTCATTGAGATTGGCTTGGTCTTCAGTGTACTAAGGTTAAGGTACAAGTACAAGATCGAAAAGAATGCATTGCATGAACATTGGGATGCCCAAGAAAAAAGGAAGGAGGGGAAGAATCAACACGAAAGAACATCAAATCGTAAGTTTATGAAAATAAAAAAAAAAGCGTGACGTGACGAGAATTTGGAATTCGAGATGTTAGAAGGTGCAAAATCAATGGGTGCCGGAGCTGCTACAATTGCTTCAGCGGGAGCTGCAGTCGGTATTGGAAACGTCTTCAGCTCATTGATCCATTCCGTGGCGCGAAATCCATCATTGGCAAAACAATTATTTGGTTATGCCATTTTGGGCTTTGCTCTAACCGAAGCTATTGCATCGTTTGCTCCAATGATGGCTTTTTTGATCTCATTCGTATTCTGATAAAAGAAAAGCAACTTTTTTTTTTGGTTAACTGGTGAGCCGCTTACGCTTTCAGTGAGGAGACAAGGAGCTTCAAGCTGAAAGTAGTCCCTAGACCAGACAGAGGATCTTGGGGGGTGTCCGGAAAGAGGATTCCATGAAGCGGCTTGTCCGCAGATGTAGGAAGGATGAATTTCTTCCTTTCGAACTGCGACAACAAAAGCTACTCTATTGTAGGAACAAAATGCTTATTGATCAGTCTCGTCCAATAGGATTGATCAGAGCAGTGCCAGTTCGAGTCTGGCGAGTTGCTTTGAAAAAAAAAGAAACTTTGGGATTGCTGAATAACAGACCAAATAATAAAGCACCGAACCATAGAGTACTTGCCACTGGTGCCACGGAGAGATATGTTTTTAGATCTCGCATTTAAAATCCTCCTTCAACATTTGAATTCTTATTCTTTATTGTAATTTGTAATACATAATTACGATGGAATAGCCTGTTTTTTCTAGCTATTACTTTCCTTCATTCAGGTATGGGGGCAGGGAATACGAAGGTCGAGTAGGCTTCGTCGGTTTGAGAAGGTGAACGACGAATCCGAGTGATCGAAGGTTCAAGTACTGAGCGAATATTCAAACGTCTATTCATGTGAGAACTTCTTGCCTTGACACCACCGTAGCCTTAGCCTTAGTCAGTAAGGATGGGAGGGGGCTTACTATTAGATAGGGACTCAGGAAGTTCATGGGAAAAGGTTAGTGGAAGAGATCATCTTTCCGGGGTTGGAGTCACCGAAGTGAACGATAGGCAAGAGAAGACACAGGAGTTGACCTGACAAGCATAAGATTCATTCAATAGCCAAGCAGGAGAGTATGCACCACTCCGAAGTACTAATAACTAAGTTGAAAAGAGAGCGGGGCAGGCCATAGACGAAAGTGAACTATAGACTACTTACCAAAGACCATAGGTAATGGACGAAAGACCAGCAGAAGGGCATTAGTCGCCGAGGATGCTAGTGCGCGTAGATCAAAGCTTAGTGGAGAGACCATACATAGGAAAGTTACAAGGAGAGGTTATCAGCAGGGGTCGATGGCAGCTTCGATTACGGAGAAGTCAATAATCAATGATTATGCGGAGGGTCCAGCTGTCACAAATAACCCAAGCAGAAAGGTCAAGCCTATTTGAATTTTTTATTGGAAAATGAGGAGGAAGACATCTCTCATGGAGAGGCAATCCTCAAATACGTACTTTGACCAGACGGCTTACCTTTATTCTTATTCTGCAACTGAACCTTTCAGTCAAGATACTGCGTAACCTGTGCTACTAGTATTCCTTTCTTCAGGAAGGCTACTAAGAATATTCATTCCTTCTTCTTTCCCGTTAGGACAGTGAAATAATAAATTCAATAATCAGGATTTGATCGAGGTAGTTTACTTACGCAAGCAGTGATAAGCTTTGGTTTGCTCAGCTTTATCCGAGTTGATGCTTGGGTGTCTGTTGCTGCAGCCAGTCGAACGAAGCATGATTCTCTAGTTTTCGGTGGAAAAAAGCCTTCAGAAAGAGGTCTTTTAAAAAAGAAAATGGTAAGCTCTTGCTCGCGCATTTTGGCTCTTCTCGCGGTAGAGCCTGTTATCTCTTCCATGGAAAACATCACAGTCTAGGGACCATGATGATTCACCTATCGTCATTGATAAATGAATTAAAGAGTACATCTGATGCACCAACTGTACTAGGTCCTTCTGCTGACTCGGCATCCACACATCATATGACGTTGAGATGGGACCATCAACCCTCGAAGTTACAGGGATCTGCACTATGGGAGCGTATTGGATATAATAATAACATAGTCTTCAGACGCAACAACTTGTCAAACAGAGTCGTAGAGAAGTTCACGATAATGACTCTTTATCCTTCCAAGTATGGTTCACGAGACCCTACCCAGGACTCCGAGTCCACGCACGTAGGTCTTCATGTCCACACACAGTCGCGGTTGTGCACAGCACATTAAACCCGACCGTTGAGGTAGCTTCCGGGTCACTCCTCACGAAGTGGGCGCTGCCCTGTTGGTCGAGCATCCTGCTGGACTACTTGGGTCAGCGCGCTTCGCTGGACTCACGAAGAGTCCACTTGAACCTTTCCAAGGCTCAACTTGACAAGTTGACGTCTGGTGTTCTCTACCAAGCCATCCTGGCTTTTCGCTCCTCTCCAACCAGTCGAGTTTCACTCAACATAGAAAAGCAACTAGAGCAGAGCGGCCTAAAGCTCTTGAACTAGAGGAGGGGAGGGGTCTAGCATACTGAAACATAAATATAGCTATAAAGCCGCATCTTCCTTACGGTCTCCTAAATCAGAACTTTTTCACTTTGTTTTAGCTTCGCTAGCTTTCCTTTTCAACTCGGAAGCACTTACCCTTTCCAATAGCGTAAGCTGATCCAGCTGATGCGAGAGTTACAGCTCAAGCACCTATTTCTTTTGTACCTTCATTCAATTCAATTCGCCAATTCATTAAAAAAAGATTAGCGCTTGCTAATTATTTAAAATGGTTTCATACTCAATCAATTAGGGATAGACTCTATCTCTTCTATACGACAGACTAGTTCCCTATGTTAACTAGCGGAGCTCTTAAAAAAGGGAAGTCTAACACAAACAGTCTTGAAGCTTATATATTAAATGAGTCCATCCCGAAGCCCCAACCTTACGCATCACTTTGATTGCTTCCGCCTCCCTATTTGTTTATTTATAGAAGAGCTCCTTGTGGCGAGAAAGGGAAGAGGGAGATCAAACTAGAAAAATAAATAAAGTCAAGGAGAAGACACCTCTAGTACTTCACTTCCAAACATGACAGCCATTGAACACATTTTGATTTTATAAATTATATGCATAGAGACGAACTCCTAAACTATTGGAATAAACGAATTCAATTCCTTCCTTTACTCCGGGGAAAGGAGATAGACCGATCATTATGACCGGGCCGACAGGCCCTACGTAGTACATGCCCTTAGAAGGGAATACATTTATTATAAAGAACGAAAGAAATTGCGTACTTCACCCCTACCTATTATGCGAGCTAGTCCTCTACTGAATTTATATATATCCTTTTCCACGCGGGAAAGAAAAGGCTTTGTACGAGGGGCCTCTCTTTCTCTTGCGCTGAAGCAGCCACATCTCGTTTGGCTGTCCTACTCTCGTCCCCGCCGAGACCAGAATGGGTCGGAAAGAAACCGGCCTTTGAAGATCACCCACTTCATCAATGCGTGCGATGTTGGAATACCAAATCCCACTGGGATTTCCATATGAACTTTTTTCTCCACAAGATCATCCAGGTTTAATGTCTCTTCATTAATAGCTACCAGGGAAAAAAAGCTTGACACCACTTCGCTTCAGGAAGTGGAATCCCAACAGTGAACAGGCAGACCGCTGATACCAATCCATTGTCTGAGAGTCTCCAGGGGAAAGGTGGGGCAATCCGGCCACCACTCCAGAAGCTGAACTGTAGTACGGCCCACATGCATGAACTCCTGAGACAAAGCTCAAGCTAGTAGTCATAGTCGGAGTCGTAACTCAACTCCCAGCCCGAGGGGTAGCTCATTGCCCGAGTAGAGAATGTTATGCCTATCCGCTGCAAGAAGAGGTTGCATATAGAATGCGACATCTTGTTAGCTACAGTCAGCTAGTTAGCTACTTAGCTGCGGATTCTTCATTTTGACTTTCTTCGCTTGCATCAGAAACATCACCAGCTCCTTAATTTATTTCAATATGCTCAGTAGCTGGTATGTTTAAATTATCCAAACTCGATTGAATGGCATTGAGGCTATTCTGTAAATCCTTCAGGTACTTTGGCTGATTACCAAGGTTAGTACAGATATGGATAAGAGTTTGGTTAGTCCAGTTCAGCTGCTTGTGCAATACCGAAGGTGAAAGATCTTCAGGTGAGTGAACCTTGGGTAAGGTGCACGAACGGCTTACTCTTTACAGTGGGAGGGAAGGAACGCACTCCAAGCAGGCTCCCGGAAGCTCAAAAAGATTCCCCATTTGCTGCTTTAGCGATCACCCCCGGAGCTGAATCAGAGCGATAGGGAAGCACTACAGGTATTGGATTCACCGCAAAGAGAGCAGCTCCTTCTCTTGCATTTGAACCCTCGGACCCGGATAAGCAAGGGGATTCTAGTTCTGATTCAATTGCAAAGAGCGCTAGGCACCGAAAGCTTCAGTCAACACAGTCCTATCTACTTCCGTCGGATTGTAAAAGACATGCCTACATTAGTAACTAGCAACCTTCACTATGCGAAATGGAAGGGCTAGCAAGACACTAAAGCAATAAAGCAGGAAAGCAAGAAAAATAAAGCCTAAACCTTGCAGTTTCGTCGTCTTATTTTATGGCTAACCCGGATTCAATAGCAGCTCCTGCTGAACTAGTGGCATGATAGGGGAAGGAAGGCAAGGAGCCTAGCACATTTATGCACACTTGCCAGCCCTCCTTTATAGTCGAGCTTTCAGTATTGAAATGATCTTTCTCATAAGTGAGAACTTCCGGCATTCCTCAATGGGCCTCCGATGTCAGTTATTAACTCTTTTCTCTTTCAGCTAGCTTTTGGAGACTGGTGCTTTCGGCTTCTTCTTCTTTGACTGTTGATGGAGTCATTACCGCAGCTTGAGTACTCGTAGCCGCTATTACAGAATCGGCTGTACATGAACTCTATCAATTTGATATACATCGATGATATGAAACGAATCCCACATCTGACTCAATAGGAACTGAACCTTGGTCTCCGCACCCCACCTTACTTACTTATAGGGCTAGGGGCGTATTTAACAGGATCTTTCGAGAGATGGGAAGAAATAGCTGCAGCTTGGCTCTTTCCCTTATGGTAGAAGTGAAGTTCAGGAAAGCTAATAATCAGTAGTTGCAGAAGAAGCAAAAGAAGAAGAAGCGGAATCGCTCGTTTTATTAACCGGACGATACTCATGAGTTGAGTTCCTTAATGACCCATAAGGGTAGGGGTAGGAATAAGAGTCATTGCTTTCGAGA